CACTCTCTTCAAGAATTCCTTTGTATACGGAACCAAAACTACCTGCACCAACCAAATTCATTGAGGAGAATCCTTCAGTAGCCTTTAGGAGGCTTTGGTATGATAAGTTTAAAAGTGAATTTTCTGCAAAAGTTGTTGCCGTTGACTTCTCCTTTTTCGTTCTAAACCACAAAATGAGGAGGAATGTGAATACCAAAATCACTCCTAAAACTGCAAAAACAAGAACAATTTTTAATTTAAGAGAATTGTTCCATCTTCTGTTGGATGTTTTCAAGTTACAACTGCGCAAGTGTAACTCAAGAATGCCCCCACAAAGCTTATTGTTTCCCTTAACGAATGTAGCACTGGCATTTTTAAAAACACCTTCAACTGGTACCATACCCTCGAAATCATTAAAAGAAAGATTTAAATACTGTAATGACTCAAAGCTCACCAGAAATTTTGGAATCTCACCCGAAAGATTATTGTCAGATATATCTAATGCTTCAAGACCTCTCAATGAACTCAAAGATGAAGGAATGGAGCCTTCAAACAAATTGCCATCCAAGAACAGTCTCTCCAGTCTTACACAGCTACCAAGATTATCTGGAAGCACACCTGATAATCTGTTTTGAGACAAAGATAATTCACCTAGGTTTTTCATATTTTCTACTTCACCAGTTAAATAGTTTGAGGATAAGTTTAGGACAATGGACAGGGATGAGAGCCCAATTACTTCAGGGGGTATAGAACCACTTAGATTGTTTTTAGCAAGAGACAATCCAACCAAATTCTCACACTTACCTATACTTGAAGGAATGTTGCCCTGAAGATTGTTAGCACTTAAACCCAATTTGGTTAACATTGTCAAATTTCCAAAAATGGGGGGAATGGGCCCTGAGAGAAAATTGCTATTTGCAAAAAAGATACTTAGCTTTTGAAGTCTCCCAATGCCAAGGGGAATAGAACCTGATAATTGATTGTATGATGCCGCTAGTATCTCCAAGTTGATGAGATTTCCAATTCCGGATGGAATTCTTCCAAATATTCTACAGTGTTGGATATTTAAAGATACGAGATTCCTGGATAGATTGCCTATGCAATCCGGTAATTCTATGCATTACTTCAAGGCAATTACTTCAAGGCAATTAGCTTTGTCTGGTGGAGCTGAAGCTGACGGCTGTTGGTCACTGCCCCTTGCATTACTTCAAGGCAATTTCAAGTTAGAGCTGAAGTTGTTGGACCAGACTCAATTGGAAAATTCTGTATGGGTCTGCATTCATACTGGATTTTGATCACCATATCGTCGCTGGCATAATTGAGCATAATTGATATATATTTCCACCATCTCAAAAAATACACCTATTCATCTTTTTTTTTTCCATCTTAATATCTTAATGCTTTATTCTCACTAATGTCAAAAAAGGATAATATAATTATTTACAATCCGCTGATTATAATCTGCTGCTAGTTTAATTACTCTGAGAAGGATTTTTTTTTTTAACATCTTAATACCTTGCTTGACACCTATATTGAAATGAATGACCAAGCAATAAAAACTATATTCAGGATTTGAAACGAATTCTATGCAC